TAGGAAGAAAAATTTTTTTGTTTCCTTCATATTCGAAAATTTATTAATAATTGAATTAGCAAATTTCAATGATGAATAACCGTTTCTGTTAGATTTAAATAACTGCGAAGAAGTGCAAATTGGAAAAATTATTATTTGGAAAGCCGTGTTTGGAAGATTTTACCTGTAACGCAGAAATAAAAATACTTTATAAACAATATTTTCAAAAAAAAAAAATTATTTGAAATAATAGGAAACAAAGTATTTTGCATTAACATATTGTATTTAACTTACAAACGAGGTTTAGTTACTTAAAGCGCCTGTCCAGTAAACAGGAATATGAATCTAGTTACCGGTGCTGGCACTTTTAAGTGAGGCGGAGCGTTGTTCAGAAACTTTAGTGAAAGTATTTCCAATCTGAATTTAGAATCTGAATTATTCTTATCAATTATACAATTTGTTTAAACTTTCATATACCAACAAATAATATACTAACTGATGTTTCATAATGTATTTCATAAACATAAATTATTAAAATGCTAAGTATAATACTTTTCTCTTATTTTGATCTAAATTAATAATAATAACAAAGAAAGTATGAAAAATGAAATTAATTAAAATTCTGCGTTAAAAGGCTAAAATAAAGTAACTCTTAAGCAAAATTCCAAATGGAAGTTCTAGTTTTTGTAGTAAACTAGTTTAAGAAAGTGACAGAATTCCAAATAGTAGTTCTAGTTAGTGTAAATAAACTAGATTAAGAAAAGCACAGAATTCCAAATGATCGTTCTAGTTAAAAGAACCGACTTAAAAAAAGTGACGAGATTCCAAGTGGTAGTTCTAGTTCGTGTAAATATACTAGTTTAAGAAAGTACTAAAATTCCAAATGATAGTTCTAGATCTTGTAAATAAACCAGTTTAAAAAAAGTGACAAAATGTCAGATAGCAATTTTAGCTTGTGCAAATTAAACAGTTTAAGATAGAGACAGATTTCCAAATGGTGGTGGTGGTACTTATTCCTCTTGGCCTAGAACAAGGCTAGACCAAGTCCAGGAGACCGTTCACCGACAGAAAATCAAACACCATTTGCGGATCCTCCAAAATAAAAATTTTCTCCAGTCCCATACAGGACAGCAAATGATCAGGTGAAGCCTGGTGAGCAATACATTTTAGGCATATAGGGAACGTCTTTTGACCCTGAAAAAATGCTAGTCCGCGGGTATGACCAGTGATTAGTCTTGTGATAGCTGTCTGCAGTTTCCTATCACCTTTTAGCTCCAGGGCAGCCCCAGGACTATTTTGTTGATACCATTCACGACCAGGTGGAATCCTTCAAGTCCTATTATTGTCGGCCTTTACTTTTGCATAGATTTCATTGAATGTTAGAAGGCCACTACTATCTATGGGATCATTGGAGCCCTCCTTGGCCAGATCATTAAAGTGAAGGCTCACGTGGGAGGGGATCCACTGAAGATGTATATCATTGTGATAAGAGTAAGTCATCAAATTGTCGATGATATTTAGGCCAATTCTGTCACTGATGTTTTGCCAATTACTCAGGTATTGAACTGAGCTCTTACTATCCGTGAAGATCCAGATATTCTCTGTACTCTAAATGCAATGGAATTTTCCAATCCAATGGAATTTTCCAAATGGTAGTTACAGTTAGTGAAAATAAACCAGTTTCAGAAAGTGCATGATTCTTTTGATGCCTCTTTTAAAATTTTAAAAACGTTTGCAAATCCAGAGATTAGCATTCTCAGTTTCTTCAGAGTCTACCATCATGAACGTGAGTGGATGTGAAACCATTAGAGAAAACTGAGCAAGATTCTTATAAGAGAGAATTTCGAAGATGCACTGAACAGGCACTAAAGAAATTCAATTTTACGCTTAACTATTTATTAGGCAAAGACTCTAACCATTGCACCTCTTTCAAAAACCATTTATCAAAAATATCAAAAAAAAAGTTTTAAATTTTTTTTTTTGAAAAAAAAAAAAATCAATGCTTCTAAAACATAAGGTCGAATAATTTCAACTGCTCGTATGCCAAATTAACAGAGTTCGGATTTTTAAAATCTTTGAATCCCCTATAAACATGACAACACCATTAATTAACTAAACCATGATGTCACAGTTATGGATCAATGACTTCAATCATCTTTCAGAAACAGGAAAAGAGATTTTTAAGTACAATAATAATCAGGATTGTAGTGTTAATTTTCTTTATTTTTTATTCGAACAGAAACTACTGCACAGTGAGGAGGAAAGGGTAAATCAGAAAATATCAAAGATAATTTTCGGTCAAAAATTGTTATAAGATCTGAAGTTGTCTAAGTTTTTTCTTTTAGGGCTTCCATATTTTTATTAAAATACTATATACAATACGTACTATAAAATAATACTATATACGTACTTTTATTTGCCTACTTATTTTTATTTTTTCGTTCTGAAAAATCAGTATAAAATGTATAAAAATATACAGAGTTATGAATTATTTATTCAAAATTTAAGCATCGAACTGCTTATTATTTTACCCTTAAAAAACCAGAGAAAGAGCTCTAATAGAATAAAATATCCTAATTAGACTATAAAATAGGAATGTAATATTAGATAGAACGATAATTTCGCAACTAGAAAATTCTCAAAATCCAGCACAATTGATGTCTAACTTGCACTTAAGATACGTTAGCCTTCAATTTATTAGTATTACGATCTGATAGTATATCATTTGTATACGAAAATTTATACAAATTATATATTTGATAAGAATAGTTCTGATTCTAAATTAAACATAGGAAATACGTTCATAAAAATTTCTGAGCAAAGTTCCGCCTCGCTAAAAAGTACCAGCGCCGGTAACTAGATTCATGTTCCTGTTTACTGGACAGACGCTATAAGCAACTAAGCCACGGCGCTACGATTGTACGGAATTACAAATGCAAAATACTTTATGTCCTTTTTTCTGTAAGAAACAAATATTTGAAAGTATTGTTTACAAAATAATTTTTATATCCATCACTTTCATGCATAGTTAATTTACATATATTAAAAGTTAAAAGCAGGCATGGGAGAGATTCGAACTCTCGATCTCCTGTTTACTAGACAGGCGCTTTAACCAACTAAGCCACGGCGCCACGAATGTACGGAATTTCAAATGCAAAATACTTTATGTCCTTTTATCTGTGAGAAACAAATATTTGAAAATATTGTTTACGAAATAAATTTTATATCCATCACTTTCATGCATAGTTAATTTACATATATTAAAAGTTGAAAGCAGGCACCGGAGAGATTCGAACTTTCGATCTCCTGTTTTCTGGACAGGCGCTTTAACCAACTAAGCCACGGCGCCACGATTGTACGGAATTGCAAACGCAAAATACTTTATGTCCTTTTATCTGTGAGAAACGAATATTTGAAAATATTGTTCACAAAATAATTTTTATATCCATCACTTTCATGCATAGTTAATTTACATATATTAAAAGTTCAAAGCAGGCACCGGAGAGATTCGAACTCTCGATCTCCTGTTTACTAGACAGGCGCTTTAACCAACTAAGCCACGGCGCATCGATTGTACGGAATTGCAAATGCAAAATACTTTATGTCCTTTTATCAGTGAGAAACAAATATTTGAAAATATTGTTTACAAAATAATTTTTATATCCATCGCTTTCATGCATAGTTATTAATTTACAAATATTAAAAATGAAAGCGGGCACCGGAGAGATTCGAACTCTCGATCTTCTGTTTACTAGACCGGCGCTTTAACCAGCTAAGCCACGGCGCCACGAATGTACGGAGTTGCAAATGCAAAATACTTTATAGCCATTTATCGGTAAGAAGCAAATATTTGAAAATATTGTTTACAAAATAATTTTTATATCCATGACTTTCATGCACAGTTAATTTACATATATTAAAAGTTGAAAGCAGGCACCGGAGAGATTCGAACTCTCGATCTCCTGTTTACTAGGCAGGCCCTTTCACCAACTAAGCCACGGCGCCACGATTGTACGAAATTGCAAATGCCAAATACTTTACGTCCTTTTATCTGTGAGAAGCAAATATTTGAAAATAGTGTTTGCAAAAAAATTTTTATATCCATCAATTTCATGCATAGTTAATTTACATATATTAAAAGTTGAGAGCAGGCACCGGAGAGATTCGAACTCTCGATCTTCTGTTTACTAGACAGGCGCTTTAACCAACTAAGCCACGGCGCCACGATTGTACGGAATTGCAAATGCAAAATACTTTATGTCCTTTTATCTGTGAGAAACAAATATTTGAAAATATTGTTTACGAAATAATTTTTATATCCATGACTTTCATGCGTAGTTAATTTACATATATTAAAAGTTGACAGCAGGCACCGGAGAGATTCGAACTCTCGATCTCCTGTTTACTACACAGGCGCTTTAACCAACTAAGCCAACGCGCCACGATTGTACGGAATTGCAAATGCAAAATAATTTATGTCCTTTTATCTGTGAGAAACAAATATTTGAAAATATTGTTTACGGAATAATTTTTATATCCATGACTTTCATGCGTAGTTAATTTACATATATTAAAAGTTGAAAGCAGGCACCGGAGAGATTCGAACTCTCGATCTCCTGTTTACTACACAGGCGCTTTAACCAACTAAGACACGGCGCCTCGATTGTACGGAATTGCAAATGCAAAATACTTTATGTCCTTTTATCTGTGAGAAACAAATATTTGAAAGTAATGTTTGCAAAATAATTTTTATATCCATCAATTTCATGAATAGTTAATTTACATATATTAAAAGTTGAAAGCAGGCACCGGAGAGATTCGAACTCTCGATCTCCTGTTTACTACACAGGCCCTTTCACCAACTAAGCCACGGCGCCTCGATTTTACGAAATTGCAAATGCCAAATACTTTACGTCCTTTTATCTGTGAGAAACAAATATTTGAAAATAGTGTTTACAAAAAAATTTTTATATCCATCAATTTCATGCATAGTTAATTTACATATATTAAACGTTGAGAGCAGGCACCGGAGAGATTCGAACTCTCGATCTTCTGTTTACTAGACAGGCGCTTTAACCAACTAAGCCACGGCACCACGGTTGTACGGAATTGCAAATGCAAAATACTTCATGTCCTTTTATCTGTTAGAAACAAATATTTGAATATATTGCTTGAAAAATAGTTTTTTTATCCATCAATTTCATGCATAGTTAATTTGCATAGATTAAAAGTTGAAAGCAGTCACCGTAAAGATTCGAACTCTCGATCTCCTGTTTACTAGACAGGCGCTTTAACCAACTAAGCCACGGCGCCACGATTGTACGAAATTGCAAATGCAAAATACTTTATGTCCTTTTATCTGTGAGAAACAAATATTTGAATATAATGTTTTCAAAATAATTTTTTTATCCATCACTTTCATGCATAGTTAATTAACATATACTAAAAGTCGAAAGCAGGCACCGGAGAGGTAAGAACTCTCGATCTCCTGTTTACTAGACAGGCGCTTTAACCAACTAAGCCAAGGCGCCACGATTGTACGGAATTGCAAATGCAAAATACTTTATGTCCTTTTATCTGTTAGAAACAAATATTTGAAAATATTGTTTGCAAAATAATTTTTATATCCATCACTTTCATGCATAGTTAATTTACATATATTAAAAGTTGAAAGCAGGCACCGGAGAGATTCGAACTTTCGATCTCCTGTTTACTAGACAGGCGCTTTAACCAACTAAGCCAAGGCGCCATGATTGTACGGAATTGCAAATGCAAAATACTTTATGTCCTTTTATATGTGAGAAACAAATATTTGAAAATATTGCTTACAAAATAATTCTTATATCCATCAATTTCATGCATATTTAGTTTAATTATATTAAAAGTTGAAAGCAGGAACCGGAGAGATTCGAATTCTCGATCTCCTGTTTACTAGACAGGCGCTTTAACCAACTAAGCCCCGGCGCCACGGTTGTACGGTATTGCAAATGCAAAATACTTCATGTCCTTTTATCTGTTAGAAACAAATATTTGAAAATATTGCTTGCAAAATAATTTTTTTATCCATCACGTTCATGCATAGTTAATTAACATATACTAAAAGTCGAAAGCAGGCACCGGAGAGGTTCGAACTCTCGATCTCCTGTTTACTAGACAGGCGCTGTAACCAACTAAGCCAAGGCGCCACGATTGTACGGAATTGCAAATGCAAAATACTTTATGTCCTTTTATCTATGAGAAACAAATATTTGAAAATATTGTTTACAAAATAATTTTTATATCCATCACTTCCATGCATAGTTAATTTACATATATTAAAAGTTGACAGCAGGCACCGGAGAGGTTCGAACTCTCGATCTCCTGTTTACTAGACAGGCGCTTTAACCAACTAAGCCACGGCGCCACGATTGTACGGAATTGCTAATTCAAAATACTTTATGTCCTTTTATCTGTGAGAAACAAATATCTGAAAATAATGCTTACAAAATAATTTTTATATCCATCAATTTCATGCATAGTTAATTTACATGTATTAAAAGTTGAAATCAGGAACTGGAGAGATTCGAACCGTCGATCTCTTGTTTACTAGACAGGTGCTTTTATCAACTAAGTCACGGCGCCACCATCTAAAGGAACTGCAAATGCAAAATACTGTATGTCCTTTTATCTGTAAGAAATAAATATTAGAAAATATTATTCACAAAATAATTTTTATATCCATCTCTTTTATGCATAGTTAATTTACATATATTAAAGGTTGAAATCAGGCACCGGAAAGATTCAAACTCTTTTTTTTTTTTTCAAGACAGGTACTTTAACCAACTAAGCCACGTTGATACTGTTGTGAGCTAGAAATTTGCAAATGCGAATTACTTTATGTCCCTTTATATGTAAGAATATACAAAATATTTATACAAAATAATGTAATTTATACAAAATAATGTGCAAATGCAAAATACTTAGCTTCCAAGAAGAAAAAAATTCTTTAATACTGTTAACAAAATTATGTTTATTTCCATTCATCTTTCGCCCATAGTTAATTTCCAAGAAAAAAATATTTAGAAATACCGTATACAAACGTTTTTTTTTTTCATTCCCGTCCATGTCTCATGCACATTTACATATCACATGGCTGAAGCACGGAAAGTTACGAACCCACAATTTACAGTTGTTTTAGCCACACAAAAAAAACCAAGGTGACGCCGGTATTAAATATTCCTTTTGTTTATGTAAATTGAATAAACTTTAATAGTTGTTATCATCCTTTTCTCTTGATAGGAGGGAAATTATTTGAAATATTGTTAACAAGCTCTTTTTGATATTTGTGATAATTTAATTTACAACTAATGCTATGTTGAGATGGCCATTGCCATATAATTCAGAATCATCTCTTATAGTTCAAATTAACATAAAGGATTGTGTTTCTTCTTAAAGTAATTTCCTTGGTTCAAGAAATTCAGAAAAAGAGCGGATCAATTTGTTTACCTTTTACAGCAATTGAAACTATATATAATTAATTTTCAAAATTCATTTATGTATGTCTTTGGAAGCGGGAAATATATTTCCTGTGAAAAATAATTATAGATTTTGTAACTTTAAAACTCCTAAAGCTTGAAGATCCTTCCCTAATTCAATAAAAAAATATTTTGAAAAATTAACATGATTAAATTTTAACTACTTTAATCATAATAAAATATTGAAATCATTATTGTTAGTATTATTATTTATTTATTTTTACAACTTGTTGACTGTGGATTCCCTTTTTATGGTAACTCGAAATTGTCTGTTTCTCACTGCCATGTACGCCAATTACCACAAATATTGATGGTTGAAATTAATTTTAATAAAAGAAAAGTATGATTTTTTCCTTTTTCTGATTTGTTCCAACTCTGGATTCCATTTGGAATGGTTACTCGAGATCGTTTGTTTCTCAAGGACAAGTTCGCTAAATACCACGAATTTAATGTCACAGTTTAAAAACGTTTTCATTATTTACTTCCAAACAATTCCGATCGACCTTAGCGTAAATTCCTTACTAACACAGAGAAGAAAAAAAGAGGTAATTGCTCAGGGCTTTTTAAAGCCAAATAAAAACAACGAGATCGGACAATAGACGTGCTTCAATGATTAGAGAGGTGAGAGAAATATTTTTCTTTTTTTCCCTTTGTCTCTCTCTTTTGTCCAAGTACCGGTTCTTCGTCAAAAATCCCAACAATCTCTTTTTACCAGTAAGTTTCTTAATCGGATGATATGTTATTAAATAATGATAAGAAAATAAAAAAATCAGTTATTGGTTTAGATATAAACGGAAGTTCGAGAGACTAAAAGATTAAAAAGTTTGAGTTTTAATTTTTATTGCTTAAAAAGAGTAAAGTATGTTTTTCTCTTGCAAATAAAGGAAAAATTGATTTTGCTTAATTAAAACGCAAAATTAAACTTGGTTTCGTTTTTCCCCTACATTGAATTTCATTTGATATTGAAAATTGGAGCACGAATTGAAAATGACAATGATCAAATGGGCTTTGATCATAGCCATTTTTCATTATTTGTTTTCCAACTTTAAAACAATTTATTTCGAAACCACAAATATATTTAAAACTTTAATGTTTCAGTTATTTTAATTTAACTTGTTTTCTGGAAGTTGGTAGAATGTTTTAAGATATTATTTTATAGTTTTAGTTTAAAAGTTTTTTAGCTTCTTTTTTTAAAGAAAAATGTGTCCTTTTAATTTTAGTACTTTTAGTAATTTTTAAATTTTTTTAAACGTTAAAAACAAAAATTCCTTCGAGATATTAAAGAAAAATTCGAAAATTAAATTAAAGTATTTAAAATAATAAAATTGAATTAAACTATTTAAAATAATAAAATTGAATTAAAGTATTTAAAATAATAACTAACACCTAACTTTGAAAATATTCACTTGCTTAAAAACATATTAATAAAAATAAAAAAAATATTTTTAAGTGAAATAACTTCTCTTTATGAACTCGTCAAACCTTACAGTTGTTCACTTTCAAAGCATCAAGAGGGCATTAAGAGGACACTATACAGAGGAAAAAATTTTTCATAGCGAATTCTGTATCGGTAATTTAAAATTTAAGGTGGAGAAAAAAGAGAATTTATGTAATCAATTGTAAACCATAAAATTTCTTTGTTTACATTTTGACATTTAAAAAAATAATAAATAAATGCAATAATAAATAAATGAAATAATAAATGAAATAATAAATAAATGAAATAATAAATAAATGAAATAATAAATAAATGAAACAATAAATAAATGAAATGAAATTAAAATATTTAGTGTTTGAAACGTTATGGTTTTATCTTGCTTTATCTTAATTCACTTTTTCTGTACTTTAAATTTCATCATGAGAAAAGTATCAACTATTGGACTATTAACCGACTTCGTTAGTTTCCTAAGACTAATTTCCCTCGAAAAAGAAAGTAAATTGGTTAGTATGTCAACGAAATATTTTAATACGCGAATTAACATAAATAATTTTTAAGGCACTCGTTAATATAATAATTTTTCATAAAAAATTAATTTTATTTCAAATTGGTCCTCTTTCTCTCTCACACACAATCTTTTATTCAAGATTTATTTTTTCTTAACAGCTTATTTATTGTATTACTAATGCCCCGAATGACTATCTAAAGACACCGACGAGTGAAATTTTTAAATTGGATGGAAGGAAAATAGTTTACATAACTAATTACAATTTTTAATTATTTTGAAAGAATTTGTAATTGTTGAATCTGACGCCGTTTTGTCTTTCTTTTTCCGATACATAGCTAAGCAATCTCCAGAATTTAAAATTTCAAAACTTCATGAAATACTAAATGAAAAAAGATTAAAAATGAGTGTTTAAAATACACACAATTCAATTTTCGTTCTCATTAATCGTCTGCGAAAGACTTATCGTCTGAATGGAATAAACACAAGGAACAGTGAAACTTATTTATTTCAAATCACTAACGCATTGAATAAATAGGAGTTTTCAAAAAGGAACCCTTACAGAAATTGAACGATCGATTCATCACAGCTTTTCTGAATCAAGTCTTTGAGAACAAAGATAAAACAGTTTTACGGAA